GGAAAAACATACACCGTCTGGGATACACCGTGCAAAAGATAAAGGGAAAAAGTGGGGGACCGACTAATTCTGAAAAGATTTATAAAAGACCATTAAATAACAATATCTAGTAACACCAGCCGCTCTAAGCTGGGTTAGAAAGGAACGATTTGCCCCAGATGGACACCAGCAATTTAAAGGGAAAACACGAAATGGCAGTTGATTAGAAAGGCCTGGGATGATGCCTAGGGAGAGCATGAGCTGTTACTCATTCAGTGGTCCTTCAGAGCTGGTAATATGCCAGCTCCTGTCTCTTAACCAGGTCTTCACAGCTCTGATTTGTGTTTCTCAGGGTATCTTAGCATGTCTGAGTATGTCCTGGTGGAAAACATAAGCTTTTGCAGCGCCTGTCACTGCAGGGAGTCTGAGAGCTGTTTGATATCAGACGTGCCAGGAGAAAGCTGGTTTTGTTGGTAGACAACCATCTAGGCCTGAAAAAATAACTCTTACCGCTTTTTAATTCCCCCAAGCACTGCTTGTTGCTGCACGTTCAGCTGTCAGTGCCCAGAACGTCCTTCTGCTGTCGCGTGTGTCCCTCCGAGCCCGGGCTCGCCCCCGCAGAGAGAGGCTGAGATTTCCTCAGAGGAGAAGCAGCCGAAGCCGAGGAGAGGAGGTGCTGCCCTCTGGGTTGGCCGTGTCCGGCTCACGGCGCAGCGTCCTTGGCCCCCCAGCGCTTTCAGGATGTGTGCTGCTCTGGTTATGTATTTAATAGCTACCTAGCCAGAGCGCTGGGCATTTCTGCAACAAAAATGAATATTTAGCTTCTTTCTCAGACAGGACTTGAGGTGGGTGGCAAACAGACAGGAACAAGACTCCACATAGTATAATGTTATGTGTATTTAAATGATTGAAACGGGCCCAAAATCCCACTGTGGGTCTGCAGAACTGGCATTTGGCTGGTATGCAAGCCCGCTCCATCGGGCTGCACTAAAGCAAACGCTTACGCAGAAGGTACTGGAAAAGCGATTCAGGTCGGAGGAGCAGCTACGGCTGGCCCGCAGGCGTTTTGCTTTACCTGCTCCGTGGATTGTGTTTGGGGGGTAAAAACAAAGCCAGTCCCGTGGCCGGAGCTCGAGCGGACGAGCCCTGTTTATTATTGCTGCTGGTGCTGTGCGGCTTCGGTTTATTTTTGCGCGCCTCGAGCGCAGGCTGGCCGTTGGGCCGAGAGCGGAGGTGCATGCCTGCAGAAGGCACGGTTGTCCTCCGTTTGCCTTAATTTTGTTTTGGTGAAGCTGGTAGGGCAAAAAAAAAAGGGTAACACGGAAGGATTCAGCTTTTATTTTACCAAAAAAGTTGTTTTTCTCCCCTGCCCTCGTGTTGTTTCACTGCCTGCTGGCTCCTTCAGCCTTGCATCAAAGGCTGGAGTCTCAGCAGGCAAAATTCCCCTTAGAGCAGCCCTGGTCTGACCCTTTGACTTGCTTGCCTTTGGCTCTTCCCCAAACACACCTTGCTCCCAGAGCCCGCCCTTTACGGCTTTCTCGGACTGAACGCTAACATGCATATTGGTGATTTAAATATAGCCTCAGCATT